CCACAAGTTTCAGAAGAAATCAGATCTGAGCATAATCCTTCTTTTTACCTATTTCAAAATGGCAAAAGTATGTTGTTTGAATGTGTCAGACAACTTCATCGGTACAGAAATGTAAACATCAGTCTTTTTATTTATTTATTTTTACCTTCAAGTGAGGAGGTTTAAGAGTCACTTCAAGCTATTCTTGGCCAACCAGGTGCTGGGTTCAATGTTAGGGCGTGGGAATGAGGTACTGTTGGGAACCCAGAGATACCGGGTCCATCAAGGTCACCCTGACGATGCTCAAGGGCTGCTGCGGCTATAGCTAGAGATGCCTGGGAGGTGAGGTGGTGCCTGGTACAGAATTCAGTCAGGTGTGCGCTGGCCTTGAACCCTAACCACTGCACTACCTCCCTGACCCAGTTTCTGATCTTAGGATCAACTGATTCTAAGTTGAACATAAATTGGAAGCTTTGTCATAAGCAACCATTTTGACACATCTCTATGCCCAAAGACAACTATCAAGGGAGCATCATTTAACTCATTTTTATTCAATTTTGGTAAGACCATGAGTACAGCTATTAAATGAATCAAACTGAAGTTATGGTGAGCTTTATGTATGTAGGCAGACTTTTAAAAATTTTGGAATATATGTTTTCATTGTTTTATTTCCTTAGTAGCTAAGCTGGCTGAGATTTATGTCTTTGTGTTCCATATTGTATTTTGAATTTCTTAGCAAGTGATATAATATGCACCAAGTTGGAAAAGAAAAGGATGAATTTTTTTTATGTGATTCCCTCATGACTCTAGAGGGTACTTTGTAAATTAAGGCACACCCCCACTCTCCCTTTCTTCAATTTTACATGTAACATGTACCTTTAATTTTTTTTATTAATAATTTTCAGAACCTTGCATCTTTCTTCATTCTTTTTCAAAGTACCTTAAACTGAATTCCCTTTTTTTTTTTTTGCTTTTTGGGTCACACCCAGCCCAGGCTCAGGGGTTACTCCTGGCTCTGCACTCAGGAATCACTCCTGGTGGTGCTTGGGGGACCATATGGGATGCTGGGAATTGAACCCGGGTTGGCCGTGTGCAAGGCAAATGCCCTACCCGCTGTGCTATCGCTCCAGCCCCAAACTGAATTCTTATATCTATGAACTACCGTGGACTGAAGCGATAGCACAGCGGGTAGGGTGTTTGCCTTGCACTCAGCCAACATGGCGACCCGAGTTCGATTCCTCTGCCCCTCACGGAGAGCCCAGCAAGCTGCCGAGACGTATTCAATATGCCAAACACAGTAACAACAAAGTCTCACAATGGAGACGTTACTGGGCCCACTCAAGAAAATCGATGAACAACGGGAGGACTGTGACCGTGATGAATTACTGCAGCAATTCCTCTCCTGTTCTTCCAACACCAACTGTCCTTTTCTCTAATGAATCACCCCACTCACACCTATTCTTCCAGCTTCCAGACTGAGAATTCAGATTGATGAAAATAATACTGAAATAAGAGCATAGTTAGATCTAAACCTGTATATAGCTTTTCTCCCTATCAGTAGGATCTTGTACGGGACATTTGACCCCTTTGAGCTTAAGTACTTTGTCCTAAAATAGAGGATTTTGGTTATTATTATTTTTTTTTTTGCGTTTTTTGGTCACACCTGGTGATGCATAGGAGTTACTCCTGGTTCATGCACTCAGGAATAACTACTGGAAGTGCTCAGGGGACCATATGGGATACTAGGAATCGAACCTGGGTCATCCACGTGCAAGGCAAATGCCCTACCCGCTGTGCTATTGCTCCAGCCCAGGATTTTGGTTATTTTTTCCCCAAAGTTTCACCCAACAAAACATCCATGTCCTGGAATTTTTAAGCTTTCTGTTTAGTTCTGTGTGTCCCCCTTGAAGTTGATGTATCTGATCTGAAAGTCTGTTCAAGTCATGTTTCATGTGCTTTTACTTTCACAAAATAACATCTCTGTATTTTATGTATTCCTATTCAACCAGGATGAATCTGAAGCCTTGTCATAAGTAATCAACCAACTGAAGCTTGAAAAAGAATTTCTTTCAATGTGGAAATTACACAGACTATTTATTATTTAAAAAAGCATAAAGTAGTTTTGAGGAATATGACTGAATTCTCTCTGTCCTACCATTTCTTATTGTTCTTCAGAGGCAGGTTTGATAGAAGCTACAAATCACCTATTATAAAATAGATTCTCACTTTGTTTTTAGACCTATCTCATTATAATCATGAGTTATTATTTGGCATATCAAGTGATATATTTGAAAATACTTTATAAGGTATAAAATTGTGTTTATTTTTGTACTTATAGAAGTAACCTAATTGTGTGTGTGTGCTTGTGTGTATGAGATGGTGGTGTGGTAGTGGCGATTTGAGCTGTCCTCAGCTGTGCTCAGGGCTTACTCCTTCTCTGTGCTCAGGGATCACTCTTGGAGAGGCTCAGGAGAACATATGGAATATCAGGGATGTCAGGGATCAAACCTTGCAAGGCAAGTGCCCGACCCACTGTCTTGTCTCCTGGTCCTCTTTCCACACTTTATTTTAGTCTTCACTAAGATCTTCATTCTCTTCTCTTATATATCTTTCCTCAGAGAGGAAACTTTTGTACCCAATACCATTTTATCTCAAGTTTATGAGGACATTTCTCCCACCAATCTCCAACAAAATGAATTTATTACTGACCTAGTAGTAAGTCATTCAAATTATACCTGAATTCATCATTTTACATTATTAGACTGTGCCATATATATAGTGAAGCCTGGGTTTAAACATACAAAATTTGTGTGAATAATATTCATAATTTTATACTACTGGACATGTATTGCTGATGAAATTAAGTAAAATAAATAGTTGAAATCATTGAAATATATATATATTTGAAATCATTGAAATATTTTAAGGCAAATTGTTAACTACCACATTAAATTTTTTTCTTCTTTGATATTTCTATCTTGATTATATGGCCTTTATGCCAATCAGTAATTTTTCTATTGTTTTTCTTTTTGGGTCAACCTGGTGATGCCCAGGGGTTATTCCTGGCTCATGCACTCAGGAATTACTCCTGGTAGTGCTCAGGAAACCATATGGGATGCTGGGAATTGAACCTGGGTCAGCCGCATGCAAGGAAAATGCCCTACCTACTGTTATCACTCCAGCCCCCTGTAATTTTTCTATTTTTATGCTAATGACTTGTACATCAGCAAAAGAGAAAATGTGTACTCCAGGGAAATATTTCAATTACAAAGATAATGAGTAGATCTTTGTCACTTTATTTGTAAAAACAATTTTAAAATAAGAGCGTTTCACATTGACAAGTCTACTCTAAGACCAAACAAAAACAGGTTTGTTCTCTGAATCACAATCAAATTCCAAGTAGATGTGGTTGAAGACCATAATATTTCACAACCTAATACACAAGTATAGAATATGTAAAGAAATTGTGATTTTGAGTATAGGTTTTAGAGACACAAGCAGTGATGATCAGCACTTACAGCTCTGTGCTCAGGAATCGCTTCTGATGGTGCTCAGGGGATTGGGATTGAATGTATACAGGCCAATACTTTACCTACTGTATGATTTCTCCATCCCATCATCTGATATCTCTTAAGTCATGTGCTTAGTAATTTTTCTGGAAAGTACTTTCCACTCAATTACTTTAAAAGGTTGTAGACTGAAAGCAAAGAGCTAAAACACCCAAGTTTGGAAAAGTCAAGGGAACCAACAACTCTTTCACAAATCTAAGACTGCTAAAGATCAATGCATAATTAAGATTTTAGTTCTTTGATTCATAGACAAAAACTTTTTTTCTCAATAGGAAATGTCAATGTCAAAAGATAAAGCTTTGACGCCCACAGGTTTAACTTTTAGACACTCAAAAGCAATCTGAAAGGCGGTAGAGTGATATGCATGATACCCTTTCAGTAACAGTATTGCAGAACCGCAGTGTCTAAAAGGAAAAGGAGAGAGAGAGAGAGAGACAGAGAGACAGAGAGACAGAGAGACAGAGAGACAGAGAGACAGAGAAGCAGAGCAGAGACAGAGACAGAGAAGAGAGAAAGAGAAAAAGAGAGAGGAGGGCGTATGTCATAGAGGCAGGGGTGGGGCAGGGGGAAAGTGAGCAGGAAATGTTGGTGGGAAATGTGCAATGGGGAAGGGACAGATGTTGGAATATTGTGTGACTGAGACTCGATCATGAACAACTTTAACCACATCTTATTCAAGAAAAAAAAAGTTAAAAAAAAACAAAAAAAACCTATATCTATAATAGCATAACATTTTCACTTACTTTAGTTAAATTCTTGTAGAACAAGGTCTACTGTGAATTGACAATAGAATTTCAGAAGCCAGGAAGCACAGTTTCTTATGACATAATTATAAGCTTGCAAATAAAAAAAATGTAAAGAAATGTAAAGTCTACACGATTAAACAGTATTGTTCCCAAACCCTGAACTTCATTGGTGTTTTAATGAAGTGAGGCTGGGTAATGTAATGGATGGGTACTCATCTAAAAGTCAGAGTGCGGAGACATCATGTGACAGTAAATAGTTGAATGGTTAACAGCAAGTCATTTTATTTTTCTGGGTCTCAGTTTGCAAAGCATTGGATTAAAACTCGAGTAGGTAAACTCTTAGGAAAGGTTGTTTTCCCTTTCTTTTTCATTGTGGGGGCGGAGCTTGTGACATGTCTGGCAGTGCTTGAAGTGATTCCCAAATCTATACTCAGGGGACTCCCTGCAGTGCTCAGGGAACAGTGTGGTAGTGGGGACTGGACCATGGCTTCCTGCATAGAGAGCACATATCAGCCCTTTCATCTACTTCTCTGGCTTGATCTTCATTTCTGGACTTGTACTTTGACCTACACTTGTGAACAGATGAGAAAATGCTCCTTAGACAAAAGCAACAAATGGATCTTTTTGTATCATTCATGAGCTGATTATGAAAACAAAATGAAGCTCATTTAATAAAATCAAATTTTAAAAGTGTTAAGTTCCTTACCTCTACAATTCCTATTTTTCCATCATCTCTCTGACCGTATTGATCCACAAAGGTTTTCATCTCAGGTGATAACTCCTAAAATTACAGAAAAGCAGGTAAGAAGTTTGGAAAAATACAGAATTTCAGTTATGCTTGTGAAGATATAACATTGGAATGAAATTCTGAAATTAAAATTATTTACAATTGTGTATTCTGATTAATTTTTCTCATAAAATTTAAAACATAATGGCTGTTAGTATCAATTAGGTGTGTTTTGGAGGGAGCCCACACCCAACAGTGCTCAAGAGGTTACTCCTGGCTCTGACTAAGGAATTACTACTGACAGTGCACAGGGGACCATGTAAGATGCCAGGATTAAACCCGGGTGAGCTTTGGGCAAAGCATGTGCTCTGCTATCTACTATCGCTCTCATCCCCCAGCATCTACTAGTTTTTAATGATAGTTATACTTAAAATTGATGAATCAGTCACGATTGTTTTATTGTTTTACTATCCATTTTGAGATTGTGCTAACCTTTTAAAAATGTAGTAAGTTTTTCCTGTTTAAAATCTTTAGTGAATTTAAATAAAATGCACATTGCCAGTGTACTTTAAGCGTTATTTGATTATTAAAGTTTCTTTTAAATGGCTCAACTAATGGTCCAATAAGAGTTTTCTGAATCTGACATGTCATGTTTTATACATGTAAACAATAATTGTATGGTGTTGGTTTGAAGAGGTCAAAACTGTGAATATTGATGAGTAACTAATTTGGCAAGTAAAGATAGTTTCTAGTAGGGGTGGTGATTGTCATTGATTTTATAAGTTAAGAAATAAAATGTCATAAAAGTATGTGTCAGATTAATATGACAACAAATTTGTGGTTTTCATACGTTGATTTTTTTTTTTGGCTACTGAATTATATATTCCTGGAATCTTTCATTCAAGAGTAACTTAGGGAGCAGTTGTCCACTGATTCTTTATTTCAGTGTTTTCTCTGATGATATTTTCTCCATGTATGTTAGTACATAAAATATTTTTTTTTATTAGTGAAGCACCATGAGCTACAGTTGTAGATTTACAAATCTTTGTGCTTGGAACATAAAATATTTTTAAGGGTGGTAGTTGACTTTATATCCTTTGGCTTCTTTTAAAATATCTATTCTATTGTTTATGTAATCCCTTTCCATATCGACAAATTAGACAGATATGAACTGGGAGGTAGTGATCTGAACATGAAACCAGAATTCAGGAAGTTGGATTTACACCCTTGGATCTCCAACACAGCTCATTTAAAATAGCCCTGTTACATTAACTCGAAGCCTATTTAAAATAGGTCAGCCTTTACTAATGTCCTATTCTGTGTCCTTGGAAAAGCAATTAAGGTCTCATTTTTTTATCTTAGCTAAAAAAATCAGTATTTTTTATTATGTTTGCTATAATATAAACTAATATAAATTAAGGGATATATTAAGTTTGAATATCATTACTAATAGTTTATAAAATCTTTTGAACCAAAGTAATAGCTTTAGAAGAATAGAGCTAACACATTAGATAAGTGATTGTTATAATGTAATATTTTCAAACTTTTTATAGAATTAATTGAAATTTATATTTATTACATTTTATTACAGCAACTCTTACGAGAAAATGAGTGTGTTCAACTCCTGCCAATTTAGGAACCCTCATTTATATATTTTAAACATAAAGTAAACTAAAAACAGGGCTTTGGCTCTTAAATCTTAAAGTCATATAATGCTTATAGATCAAATCTAGAATACAAGATTTAGCTAGTAGATGACAGTTTGTGAACTTTTGGAGTGATAATTTTGTAAAAATAGATGTTTTAAAAAATAGTGATACTTAATGTATAAAACATGTTAATTAAAATGAAATTTATGTTATAAATGAAAGTGGTTCTAAAGATATAGTGAGTTATTTTTCATTTATGTAATAGGCATTTAATAGTTCATATTAGTGAAATTTTTGAATTTGGAAATGTCAAACAATGTCTCCATTAATATAATGACATCTGTTATATAATATTTATGCTTTAAAAGAAGCAAAAACACATATAAAGGAAAATATTGGAGTCAGTAGTATAGGAAATTTGCCTAGTACATAAACTTATAAATATATGTCTTATTTTAGATTTATTTGTGCTAACTAAAAACCTATAATATGATAAAGAAATATTTTTTAGTCATGATTTTAAGAAGCTAGATATAATTCTAAGCCTTTGCTCAAGTTCATTATTATTGATGACAATAATTGCTGCTCAAATATTCTAGTATTGAAGCCTCAATAGTAAAAATAAGTTCTGTGATCTTTAACATGAATAAATAACAAATTTAGAGTCCTCAACATTTACCAATATTAAAATGGGAAGAGAAGAAGAGAACAAAACTGTGATTACTAAATATTAAATATTCTGAGATTAAAATAAATCTTATTAAAATTACTTCTAGAAAAATTTAAATATTCTTTCGTTGCTGGAATCCTTTTAGAAGTTTTAATTCTAAATTTTGTGAAAAGTAAGATTTCTCCCAGCTGCTTGTTCTAAATATATATATATATTTAAATAAGAAAAGTTAAAAGATAAAAGGAGCATTAATGATAATGTTACGTGAGTGTATTTACATGATAGTATTTAACAAATAGGGTATGTGTAGTGAGATTGTTAAAACAATATTCTCTTTCACTCAATCCCCTTTTGATTTACTTTCAGATTTAAAAAATATTAAATCTGAGCATAACAATTCCAGATTTTTTTATGGTTTTAAAGCAAGATGATAGTGATTTTACCAACTGATAATTTGAAATCTATTATCACATTGTAACATATTTAGAGTTCTCTAACATTCTTTTGATTATGTTGTACTGAAATGTTTTTCTCACAACTTTCAATTTAAGTAGAACAAAAAGGTTAACTTGCTAGTAAATTTTATACATATAATTTTTATATAATAATAATTTATTCATAATACAATTTTATGTATACACTAAAACATTAGAGTTGGTTTCCTACTAAAGATTAAACATACCTGTACTTTTATCTATAGATGTTTATGTATATAATCTGTAATGTAAAATCACTTCCTAATGATAATCAAAAAGTTCAAAGATTTCTGATACTAAACTAGTGCAAGCCCAACAATGCTTTTTGAAGCACTATTTTATATAAACCCCATAGATAAATTAATAAAATTATTAATCCACTTTCCCCATATAATTATATCACCTATGTTTTAAATCTTGGAATATTTTATTTTTATCCTGACGTCTTTTCTTAAGATTCATTTGTGCCCAAAGGAATTTGTTCTTAGTAAAAGTTGTCATTTGTTAAATTAACTAGTGACTTAAATCTCAAATATATCATTTCACCAAGCGTCATTGTTTTTCATCAGTGCCACTGATTCTTAAAAATATATGAAATCTCTCAATTACTTTACATCTTTCCTCCTTAACTTTTGAATCTCTTAATAGAAAGAACACGGTCTGTGCTCAATTCTTACTCATTCTTTGCTGTATGTTGTTTAACTTGCCCCCAGGACAGCGGGTCAAGACAGGCCATTTTCTCATCTCTGACCACACCAACATCACAGCAAAAACAACTGGCACCATCATAAGAGAACCATAATCTGCAGATCTGTTCCCTGACCACCAAGGGGCAGAAATGTATTTCAACCCCCGCTCCTCCTGCAGTTACAGAGAGGTTAAAAATTACCTAACCTAACTCTGTGACAGAGGTGATAATCTGCTGAAAGATCTCACTCACTTTCCTCTTAAATCCATTAAAACTTGTCTACCCCTATAGAGTCTGTCTATATTTTTAAGGGCAAGTTTTCTTTTTCTCTTGAGGGAACCAACCTCTCCCTTCTTGGTCCTCCCTCCACCTCCTCCCTCTCTCCCTCTCTCCCAACTAAAGAAATTTAGGAAGGCGCTCGCTCCTCTCTCCACCGTGCCTAATTCCATTCCCTGGAAACCTCTGAATTCCGCAGGCTCTTGAGGGAAAACGCCAGAATATTTACACTTTAAAGTCGCAGAAATTTTTCCTGCTGCGTAAACTTGGACCTACCAATCCAGCCTTCTTGCGTGCCAGTTGGAGCTCCTGGATCAAGTTCTGCAGCTCCTTTCCCTCCAGGTAACCGCTTCCTACAGAGACAGAGGACCCAGGGTCAGGCGTTTCACCCTTCCCCATGCGAGTTCCAGGGCAAGTCTCTCTCTGTGCCCACCGGAGAGACGCTTGCTTCTACATCCATGAAGCAGCCCGGGATGCAGACGCAGCAGCGCTCAGCTCCCGTCGTGTCAAACTTTAGGTTCACCAAGTGCGACCCAGGATGCTTAAGGGATGCTGAGCTTGGCCCCAGAAACTTGGGGGCGCGGAGTCACCCCTCCCCACCTCCGTCTCTGATATTTCTCGCTTGCTCTCTTGCTCCCCTTTCTCCCCTTGCTCTTACCATTCTTGGAGAGGGGGAGAAAACAAAGTTTAAGATTTGGGGATAACAGAAGAAATACCCAACTTTCACACGGCAGCCAGCAGGGAATTAAGGAGAAGTCCAGAAAAAGCATGCAATTAAGGAGAAGTCCAGAAAAACAAGGATACTGGGATGGGGAGATTCGGGAGAGGGGGACAGACAGGGAAGGACATGGACAAAGGTTTCCAAACCGTTAAGGAAAAAAAAAAAAAGGAGAACAGGAGAGAAGATAATCACCATCTGCGTCGAAATGAAGCCAGATCTCGAAAAACTGTGAGGCTGTGATGAGGGCTGACTGCAGGTGGGATTCTGCCATTGTACAGCAGAGAGTGTCTGAGTGTGTGTGTGCGTGTGCGTGTGTGTGCGTGGGTGCGTGTGTGTGTGTGTGTGTGTGTGTGTGTGTGTGTGTGTGTGTGTGTGATGGAGAGGGAGAGTCTGGGCTCCCGGAGACCAGGGCGCGGGCGCTGTCCTCGGTGCTGCTCCGCTCGGCTGTTCTCCGGAGTTCTCTCTCCCCACCCCGCACCCAGTTCTCAGTATTTATCCAGATGGGCCGAGCCCGGCCACGCCTCCTCCTGCCTCCCCTCCTTCACTCCCGCCTCTTGCCTGCACCAACCTTCCTCCCCTCCCTCCCTCCTCCCTGGAAAGCCAGCTGGAGCAGGAGTTTGGAGTGTAGGAAGCAGCAGGTGGTGGGAGAACCTGAGCTCTGAGAGACTGCATGCAGAAAAGGGCTCGCTACTCCCCGGCTCTCCTAGTTCAGAAAGAATCTTATGACTGAGTGTTAGAGTGGCATAATGAACATGGAAAGGTACTGCTTTTCAGAGGAAGAGCAAAGTAGAGGACCACAGAAATGATGATTAGATTGAATGTGAATTGGGGATGCTCCAAGACATTTTAATTTTTGAGCCGGCAAAAAAAAATTCGCAAGCATTAGATTGCTTTGATTAGTGTATATAATTAATTTTCTTTTTTTGCTTTTTGGGTCACACCCAGCGATGCAACAAGGATAAACTCCTGGCTCTGCACTCAGAAATTACTCCTTAGCAGTGCTGGGGCACCATATGGGATGCTGGGAATGCAACGCGGGTCAGCCGCGTGCAAGGCAAACGCCCTACCCTGGGTGCTATCGCTCCAACCCCATAAAAAGGTAAAGGCCCTCCCGTTGATCCTCGAGCGGGCCCAGTAACGTCTCCATTGGAGACTTTGTTGTTACTGTGTCTGGCATATCGAATACTCTCGGTAGCTTGCCGGGCTCTCCGAGAGGGGCGGAGGAATCGAACTCGGATCGGCCATGTTGGCCGCTTGTAAGGCGAATGCCCTACCCGCTGTGCTATCGCTCCAGCCCCCAACCCCATAATGTATATAATAAATTTCTTGACAATAATAGTCACTTTATGGTGAGCTCATGACATGGTTTAAATAGACAAGTATTGAGAGCATGAGAAAGCAGGACTAAATTTTTCAGCTTTAAATAGAATAATTGTAAAGTTGTAGAAGTAAATGACAAAATCTTAAGATGTTAGAAAAGGAAGTGATTTTAGATATACTGTTTTACTTTCTTTGAGTTTAGAGGGAGTGAGGGTAGTACAGAAATCAAAGATCTGGCCTGACTCCACACCAAAGTTTCAGTGTCCCTGATAATGCCCCGTCCAGTGACCTTAGTACACAATTCTTTCTCTCGTTTTTATGTCAAGATCAAGTTGGCAATATCAGAAGCTGTAAGTTTCAAAGTTGGAAAAGCTACCTAAGTAGCTACATGTTATTTATTTTAATTCAATAAGTGATGTATCTAGATGACCACATCTAAACACTTCTGAATTTTTTAAGACCTTGAGACTCCACTGATTAAAGTGCCCAGTATAAAGATGCAAAATGAAAGAACGAGAGAATATCTGAAACTAGTCAGTGAATTAAAGTGAATTAAATTCATCAAATTAATTTTTTGACCTTGAGTAATTGAGTAAAAGAACTTTTCAAATATATCTCTTTTCCTCCTTTTTATTGAGTAACTATTTGGATACACAGTTGCAAAGTTGTTCATGAATGGGTTTCAGTCATATTTATATGTGAGGCTACGGTTGTACCTAGTAGTGAATCTGTGAAACCTTTTATATGCATCTTTTTCAAGACTAGCATATCTCAATAACGTTTTCAAAGGTATTTTTGCCTCTGCAGTACTTTGTCCTACATAAATTATTCTCATTTCTGCTACTTTATCTTATTCCCATAGACTCTGAAGCTATTGTGCAGAGCAATACTATATTTTTGTTTTACCCATTAGATGAATAACAATCATCATAGACTAGGAATTAATTAAATATTTAGCTATTTACTTTCATTCAGGGTTGGAGCAATAGCACAACAGGTACGACCTTTGCCTTGCACGAGGCCAACCTGGGTTCGATTCCTCCATCCCTCTCGGAGTGCCCGGCAAGCTACTGAGAGGATCCCACCCACAAGGCAGAGCCTGGCAAGTTCCCTGTGGAGTATTTGATATGCCAAAAACAGTAACAACAAGTCTCACAATGGAGACGTTACTGGTGCCTGACTCGAGCGAATCGATGAACAACAGGGAGGACAGTGCAACAGAACAGTACTACTTTCATTCAACCAATAGACATTTATTGGCATATGTGAGATATTGCTAAACACTGAAAATAATTAAATAAAACACATAGTGTATGATTTCTTGAAGTTTTTTTCCTTCTTTCTTTTTATGTTTTGGGCCCCACCTGGTAATGCTCAGCGAATACTCCTGGCTATCAATTCAGTAATCCTGGCAGTGTTCAAGGGACCACATGGGATGCCCGAGATCAAACTTGGGTTGTGTAAGGCAAGTTCCCTACAAGCTATACTATTGCTTTGCACTTGAAGCTTTTTTTTTTTCTTGAAGTTTTTTTTTAAATTTTTATTAGTGAGACATCATGAGGTATAGTTGTAGACTTACAAATTTTTTGTGTTTGGGTTTCAATTATACAATGATCAAATGCCCATCCCTCCACCAGTGCCCATTTCCCACCACCACGGATCCCAGTATCCCTCCCACCCCCCATCCCCCCATCCCACCCTTCCTCTGTGCAAGGCATTCCCTTTTGTTCTCTCTCTCTTATTGGGTGTTCTTGAAGTTTTATAGTCACATACATATATATGTATACAGTATATATAGACACAATGAATGCAATGGAAGTACGTACTAGATTCTCTGTATGCATAAGTCTCCTAATTTTTGCATATGTTTTTTGTAGGTACTGAAACCTAAATTTTATAAAGGCCCAGAGAAAACTTCATTTCTTTGTGAGCATGTTTGATTATAAGAGCAAATAATCATGGGAATGAAAAACATCAATATTTTTTGCAAACTCATTATAATTTCTAAAAAGTATTGCTAAGAAAGGTCCCATTTGCCATTATATTAGCAGCAGAAACTGAAAACTATGGCACGTGCACTTGGAAGAATTGCTATAGAACGAACTGAAAGGAATGAGAAAGTATTGATTTAAATAAGTTCTCTGATGTTTTCTAATCCTAAAAGCTAACAATATTTAGACTTTGGTATAGTTCTAAGACAAAGAAAAGTGCCGAAACCCCAACATTTCACACATGAACCCAAAGTAAAGAAACATAAATTACACAACCTAATGGAAAGAACACATTTTTATTCTTTTTGGGAATTACAAAGAATTTCCTTTTTGCAACAACAACATTCCCTGATATTTCACACATAAAGGTATAAGTTTCTAGATTGTGTTACCATAAAATAACCATAAGATAACTTAAGAATTTATTTTAAATTATTTTATTTTAAATTGTTTATTTAATTTATGTTATATAAATTGTTTATTTAATTTATGTTATATAATATAAATTAAATAAATAATTTAATGTATAATTTTAATTTATTTTAAATAAAAAACTTGTATATATACAATCTTTTCCACGTATTTCGCTATCCCACAGCTAGGATAACTTTAGAGTTTCCATTATTCAATGTTTATAGGTATGATTATTTGATAAAGCAAGGAAACAAAAAGAAATAGAGGGGTTTCTTGGAGCTGTGTGGAATTAGTAAGCACATTCAGTTTGCTTCTTGTTATGTTTCAATAGAATGACTTTTGACTTTTGAAAGAAACCAATATAGAATTGGGGGTACCTAAAAACTTCACTTAAGTCATCTCATAATGCTATCTTTATCCTGAGACATTAAAACCATCATGCTTTAACAAGCATACAAATAAATGCATATAAAATTTCAAAATTCTATTAAACAGCAAAGAATATATTCTTGTTAATTTTCCATATTAATTCAAGGATATCTCTCCAATATTAACATCATTGTATAATTTAAACATATAATGACCGAGTAGTACTTTTATTGATGAACCATATTTTATTGATAATCAGGTTATTTTAGATTTTTTTCTTGCTGTGAAAGTAGTGAAACAAATACTTTTTGATACATTTATCTTAGGTAAACATGGTAGCTGTTATTTTGTTTTGTGACACTGGGTTTGGTACACGTGGATTTTTGAAACAGAGTTGCCATATATAGTATTCCTGTTCAGAAGTATGCACATCAGAACTATGCACATTATATATATATACATATATATATATATTTATATTGGATTTCCTCCAATCTGTAGCAACTCATGTTCAAATGAACAAAGTCTGGGGAGATCGTTTGTGATTGCAATTCAATTGCAAAGTGAATGCAATTACCTTTGAAACTTTTCATTTATATTTTCTATTACTTGTTAAAATTTAGGTTGGGTTTGGAAGGTATAATTTTTCTCTTGTCTATATTTTAATTTTTTAGTATGTATTTGATTTGGTCTTTGAACAACACCACGTTCTGTGCTCAGGGATAATTTTAGGTGGAGCTTGCGAGACTGTTTTCAGTGCGAGGGAGTGACCCAAGTCAGCCACTGCAAGGCAGATGCCTTAATTGCTATGCTATCTATATTTTTAATAGCAAAATTACAATCCTGTAGACAATGGCATTTCCCTAGATATTATATTGCTATATTGTTCCAGACTTTTGTCTCAAAATAATATATGTTTTCTGATAATTTTTTGCCATTTCTATCTTAAATTCCACTTTCTTATACCATTAAAGAGTTATATCTTTTATTAAGATTTTAAGTAATTTGCTGCTCACTTCTTACTGCTCTCTCCAAATATTTCAACTCCTTAGTTAAGATATGAAGGCTCCTTTTTAGTACATTTCTGGGATTCTTAGAGAATTTCAAATGCTTTTAATTATGAGAAATATTTTTTCCCTAAGAATTAAGTTTCTAAAAACAGCATTGCAAACAGAGCATCGAGTGACTTGCTCATTAGCCTCATCGCCCAACATTAAGGTGAATGTAAATGGGTTCATCATCCAATATTGTCATAAAAGTAAAAGCA